TGGGCGCTGCTTGGCCTCGCGGAGCGCCCGCGGACCCACGTTGGAACCGCACGCTGTTAAAAGCCGCGCCTTTGGGAGGCAAAAAATACTTCCGCAGCCTTTTTTGAAATTGTTCTGGTTTATTGGGTTTTTTTACTTTAGAAGATCCGAAGTTGCCATCCTTCAAAACGGCAAAATGTGGGAAGTTAATGGCTGAGACCTTGTGTAGTAGCTCTGAAGCATAAAGAAAATTGCTGCTGGCGCACAAAGCCCTTACTTGCCTGTCTTCGGGTTGATATTGAACACCTTTTATCCCAACGATGAAAGTTTTTCAAAAACAGCCTTATTTAACTGAACTAACATGAAGGTCTTGATGCCCTTCTTGGGAAGGGTTGAGTTCCCCAGATACCTCTGGGAAAGATCTCGGCCTTTTTGGGTTTTTTCCTTTCCTTAAAGTACTGACCTTTTTCAGTAGAACAGGCACAGCGAGGGAAGCTGCAGCGAGTATTTTCCCATCCTGCTGCTGTGCCTCAGAATTGGCCGGGATCTGTCTCTCTCCACGCCCCCACCCCCCTTTTTTTCTCTCTGCTTCCCAACTAAAAATACAAAGCTGAAATTACTGATTATTTTCTAATTATTGTTACATGCAGAACTGAACAAGGATGAAAGATTGAGGTGTTCAGGCTTTGTTCGGAGCCCTGTCTAAGCAAAACAGAAGTTTATTTTGCACTGACCAAGTAGGATTTTATTTTAATCATAATCAAAATAAAAATTTTATTTTAGAACAAATGTGTATAACAGTAAATTTATTTCTACTCAGGCACAAATTTCTCAGCACTACTGCTAACAGTAACGATTCATCTTTCTATTTGAATGTGTAGAAAAGGAGCTCTGTATGTTAATTGGAAATACTTATTTTGTACTTAATTATCCTGAATTGTTAGTGGCTAAAGCACAGGAATATTTAACATAGAGATGCAGGTCATTCTCCAAAGACATAATGCAATAAACACTATGCTGATACGAAGTTTTGTTCCAGGTGTTTAGATTGTGCCGTAGCCCTAAAGGTATAACACCATGTATGGTTTTTAATTTGATCAGCTGTTAGCTACTAATTTTCCTTGTCCTTTCTCTTTTTTTTGGTAAGTCTCCAGTGTCACTTTAAGTCAGTGTAAACTTTGCCCTCAATTTCAGCAGGAGCAGGCTGCTATACTCAAATAGCTCACTGGAAAACAAGCAAACAAAAAAATTCCCTAGCATGGACCTAAGTAACGTCATAAAAATGATTCCCCTCTGCCCCCTTACGCAGTTTCTACCTTCCCTGTAGAGAATTTCTATAACGCGACAGATGTGGTGATACAACCAAGCCATGTTACACAGTTAAAGCAGCACAGCTTTGTAATACTGTACACGCTTTGGAAGCTAGGTGCCTTCAATTCCTTCTACCTTTGGGAAATGAGAATGCCCTGGGAGAATTCAGACCTTAAATCTGCATTAAAAGGTGAGAAGGTCTGTGGCACAGCTTTGATTGGCGTAAGAAGTCTAGTCCTGTCTTCCACCCTGTTAATGCACCCAACAAAGAGACCTTAGGGATGACACTGCATAGATTGTGTTCTTGTACAAATATGTATGTGTATATACATAAAAGTGGCAGATCTTTGTTATAAAATGTCTACTACTGAACTAGCGCTGGTACTTGCCCATCAATGACGTCTGCCATAGAAATGCTAGATTTAGCCATCTGTTGGCATTCTTACAGGTTGTCTAACCCTGCACATTGATAAAATTGTATGCATTCTTACAAATGATTAGGGAAAGGTTCAATATAAGCCCAGCCTAGCATGATTAGAGCATATTTAGTTTAAGATTTGAAATGGCTAAAACGCTTTTGGGTTGAACCAGTTTTTAATCTCTTTCCAGTTAACTTGGTATGAACTCATACAGACAGATTCAGCTTTCAGATTCTTTCTGTGTCAGTTCCCTTACCTAAAAATGTTTGCCTTCCCTAAAAACGTTGCTATCAGCAATGCAAACGGGAATTCCACTGGTTGGAGAGTTATTCTTTGTTTGTTTCACAGGTTCTAGATGGAGCAGGATTAGATGTTGATTTTCATCTACTGTCTCCAAAAGGTGAAACTCTAGTTTTTGATGAAAGAAAATCAGATGGAGTTCATACGTAAGTTTAAATTCTTCAAACTTACAAGTGTTACATAAAGTACTTTTCTGGTTTCTTTAACAAATATAACTAAAATAAAGGTTGAGTATGTTTTATTCCTTAGTATTATAAAAGACTTTCTAATAGGACAGTTTGAGAATACCAATTACCTTTTTATAAACACTGAATGCTTTTTACATGGATCCGACCATGAAGTGAAGGATATTTTTGTTTTAATGATAGCTGTTAATGGTCAGTGAATGAAAATAATTATTGTGGAGTTGAAAAAGGTCTCCACATCTAATTTCAAAAGATCTTGTCAGTCATATAAATAATAAGCTGAAACGTCCCCTATTTTTCCAGTCCTTTTATCAAGATATGTAGTAACTATTGTAATTTTACTATAGAGTATAAGAATTCTACTCATAATATAGTGCTTTTGATAATATAGCGCTTTTGTAATGATTAACAATGATTCAAAATCCCAATAAAGGAAAATGAAAGTAAGCTGCTGTCTTCATCATTTTAAGCCTTTAGAGTCGGTGGGATTGTTTTGCTGCGACTGTGCAATCTGTAATGTGTCTTTAGAGTTCTTATTTTTATATAAAAAGCATATTCAGTTATTTCTAAGTGCATGATTGTCAGTCTTAGAGAGGAAAGTTTGCTTACAAAAACTTGCTTTTTGAGAACCAGCACAAAAAGTGTAGTAAATTTAATGACATTTTGCTTATGTACACAGGGTGGAAGCAGAAGATGGGGATTACATGTTCTGCTTTGACAACACATTCAGTACCATTTCTGAAAAGGTGATTTTCTTTGAACTGATCCTGGACAATATGGGAGAAGACGGACAAGATCAGGAAGACTGGAAGAAGTACGTTACAGGCACAGATCTCCTAGATATGAAATTGGAAGACATTCTGGTTAGTGTTTGATCTTTAACTCTTTTCAATCTAAGAACATTCAGAAAAAACCTCAATGTTATTTAGCCATTCTGCCTTGGTCTGGTGCATCATCCTGGAAGCTGTTCCAGTTCCATATATTGCTTTTACTGATACATGAAGCCTAGCACCATGGATCTCTTGCTTCCACACAGAAGCTTGAGAATATTTTCAGAATAGACACTTAATCAGCAAGAAGAAACTGCCTAGCTCTCAAAGTCACTGTTTCCAATTCAGCTTCCTTTCTTCCTACTGCTAAAATGGGACATTTTTCCCTAGCAGCAATGAAATGAATATTTATAGTATTAAAGTATTGCTTAATCCCAATGATGTAGTTGAAATCACTGCATAGATTTTCATCAGTGTTTGAAAATAAAGTACTGTTAGCCTCTTCTTCCCATCTTTGCAGAAGTGCCCCAACCAGCGTATGGGTTAATATTTCTATCTTCAATAATGTACATATTACTTCCCCCCCCCAATTTTATTTCATCTTTTCAAACTAATAAACAGGACAGGAGTTAATCTGTACCACACTGCAGGTTCACCTTTGCAGGCATTCTATGAATGGTAGTGTTTGCTTAAACTGTACGCTGACCATACTTGATGTAGGATGAAGACTACGGCTGAGTCAAAGCTTTTATTTCCTTTCATGATCATTAAATGTTGAGATTACACTAGAAGCAGAGGGTCATTTGGTGTTCCTGTACCACTGTTCTTAGTGCTTGGAGAGATGCAGTAAACCATTGTTTGTTTGCTCGTAGCTACAGACAACAGGTATTTTAAAAACAAACAAACAACATCTACAAACACTTACTGATACACTGGTGTAGAGAATGACATTGTCTGTATTCTATTTATTGCAATAAACAAAATGCAGATTTTTAAACAACAAAACAAACTTAATGTTTAAGATCTTTTATAGGTGTACAATACACTTTTAAATAGTTAAAACCAAACATGGAATCTGAAAAGCTGGCCAGATCTTCTTTAAAACTGGCAATCAAGACAATTAGAAAAAACAAAGTTTATAGGTGAAATTGTGAAGAAAATCCTTCTCACACTAATCACAAGCAATACTTGAATGGATTTGATAGCTACTTGTGTACATACTGGTATCTCTCCCAAAAGAAAAAGAAATGCAGAACTTGTCTTTATTCAAGAGCCTTGCAGGTCTTACAAAGTAGGTAAGTTTTGTAAAGTTAACACTAGTATTTGATGCCATTGTTTACTTAGTCCAGTTACTACTTTAGTTGCAAGTTCTGTGAGGAGTTACATAAACACTTAGTAGTTTAACTTTTTAAAGATAAACAACATATTTGCTGGGGGAAATGGGGAATTGTGTCTTATTTTTAAAGCTCTTCTATGGTGTCGATGTTCCTTATTGTGCAACATATGAACTTTAGTATCATCATAAAATTATTTGGCTTCCAAAAGTAGCTCTTTTGAAATATTTGTTAAATACGCAACAGAGAAAATGTCCATGGAGAAAATGTTACTGCTGGGTTTAACTTTTTTTTTATAGCCTCCTGTTACTGCACACATTACTCTTCTCACTAGAAGTTACTTCAGGGTCCCATAATCATGTCAAGAACATAAATCAGCACTTCATGAGATCAGCTTTTAGGTTGTGACTATCTAGTACATTGTGGATGAAACTTTAACAGATTATAGGACCAGGTTTTTACTTTGTAAACGCGGAATAAGGAGTGGATCTTGAGCTGCTGTTGTTATGGCCAGAGTGTTCATGTACTTCCTCTGGTTCCCTGAGACACACACTGTGTGTCCATTGTAGGACCTCCAGTTGTCCAATTCACAATTTATTGTCAAAATTTGGCTTTAGTATCAAAGCTGAAACAGCACTTTATAGCCCCTACAGTGAAAGCATAAAAAGAAGATGGGAATATAACATTACTGTACTTCTTTTCTTTTGCTACAGCTATAGTTTGGTAGTTTGCATTAAAAAGTGCCTTAAATTGATTATCCAGCAGAAAAAAAACATTTGTCTGCTACTACATAACTTGTTTTGAGACTAGTTCTGTAGAGATCACTGCTTTTTACTTGTCGAATACCTGGAATCACAGTTCCCCAAGATACATGGAATATTAAAAAACTGATTTTAGGTTTGATTTCTCTCTCCCCTCCCTAGCCTGTAAAAGGGAAAAACCAAATTACTACAGAACCTTAATGTTATATTAATTAAGCTTTTTTAGGAGATAATAAACAGGCTGACAAATTAATGAAGACTCTGTGATGAGGTATATATTTTAAAGTGAAATTAACTGTCTACTTGGCAAGAAATTAAATTACAGGTGGTAATACAGTATTAATACTTCGTATGTGTTGCAAGCTATAAATTTAATTCAGATGTTCTTTTTTCTTCTAAAAATACTCTTTTGTTACTTACCAGGAATCCATCAACAGTGTCAAAGCCAGATTAAGCAAAAGTGTCCAGATTCAGACCCTGCTCAGAGCATTTGAGGCTCGTGATCGAAATATACAAGAAAGCAACTTTGACAGAGTGAATTTCTGGTCCATGGTCAACTTGGGAGTAATGGTGGTGGTATCAGCTGTTCAGGTTTACATGTTGAAAAGTCTTTTTGAAGATAAGAGGAAAAGTAGAACTTAATATTCAGCATGATCATAAGAACATAAGAGGTGTGGGGGGAGAGGGGGAGCAATAAACTACTACAGTAAAGGGAAGAAAAAAAAAAAGACCTTTCAGATTCTTTTGAACAGGCAGTAGACATCAGGTTTTCAATTCACGTTGGGCGTTTTGGTGGTTTTTTGGTGGTGATGGTCTTGTTTGCTTTTGTTTCGTTTTTTTAACATGAACAGAATGTGTTGCCCCAAGCTCTTCCATTTCTGCAAGTGCTACTAACAATATCTTTTTTGTACTTGTAGCATTTGTTAATGACTAACTTACGCATAGTGCACAGGATGCTTGGTGCATATGCAAAGTAATGTTAATACTGTCATTTTTTCACGTTCACATAAAACTTTAAATGGTAACTTAGACATTGGTTTATTTGCTGTTAAACATTGAGTAAATTTACATGTGTGCCTAAGTGTTCACGGGATTGAGGACCAGGGGGGTAGTCTGTAGTTTCTGTAGTTACTGTCATTTATCTTCAAAGTTACGTGTTTTTAAAAATCCTCAGCTTTTGTTGTACAGCATCATGGAGAAACACTGGGCTAACATTGCGAGAACAAAATGAGAACTCTTTTTATGTACAGATGACTAACATCAGCACTTTAAAAAAGCACCATCAATGTGAAATTGAGTCAGTGTTGAAAAGAATTGGAGAAAATAGGTGCAATTCCTGTTCGTAAATCTTTGTGTCCTGTAGTTTTACAACCCTATTTTCCTTTTTGGCTGTTACATGAGATTCAAGAGACAAGTGACTATATGGTAGACAAACAAATGCACATACACCTTGAAGTATGGTTTGCGAACTCTTAGTTACTGTAACCTCATGTAATAAGATAATTTTCAAGAAGTCATTTCTCATATTATTCTTTCCCTTTAATAAAAGGGAGAGTGTCATAATGTGAAAACATTACCTTAATGTTAATTTTTGTAGTCTCAAAATCCCTCTTATTTGCAAATTATTTTTTATTAGTTTTTGTCTACTATGTCTATGACTAATGTAGCAGTTAATAGGGTGATTTACATAGGCATGAAGAACTAAAGCTGTTCACTTAAACTTTCCCTTTTTGCTCACGCTCACAAGTCTTTTAGCTGTATAAGTACACTCGGTTCATATGAGCAGTGTTTCTATATCTAGCTGTTTATATGAGTAAGGCATGAATTACATGAGCAGTAAGTACAGGCTTCAAATTTTAGGATCAACTGAATATGTAATATCACTTAACTAAGGCAAAGCTATCCTGAAACCAGTAATTTGTAATTTCTAGATAAAGTGGCTTTTAACAGTGTAATGAGGGCATGGAGAATTTTTGCAAAAACCCCTGGTGTATGAGAATTAACTTTTTTTAATAGTTCAAAGTTAGTAATTTTTACAATGTGCCAAGTCACTGAAGTTTCCTGTATAAGTGTGTTAAACTACATTTCATCACAAGTGTTTTTAAAAAACACTTTTTTAAAGAAGTGTTTTAAAAAAAGTGTATGTATTAGTGTTCTGCCTGTTGTTGGGTCATCTGGGTACAAACACCAGAATTGCAATTTCGAGACTGTGATTAAAAATTACTTTATGGAGATAAAACAGGGTCGATAAATGCATGAAGAAACACTTTGTTCAAATTAAGCAGATGCTAGCAAGGGCTACAACATAGGCATGAAGAACTAAAGCTGTTCACTTAAACTTTCCCTTTTTGCTCACGCTCACAAGTCTTTTAGCTGTATAAGTACACTCGGTTCATATGAGCAGTGTTTCTATATCTAGCTGTTTATATGAGTAAGGCATGAATTACATGAGCAGTAAGTACAGGCTTCAAATTTTAGGATCAACTGAATATGTAACATCACTTAACTAAGGCAAAGCTATCCTCAAACCAGTAATTTGTGTAATTTCTATAAAGTGGCTTTTAACAGTGTAATGAGGGCATGGAGAATTTTTGCAAAAACCCCTGGTGTATGAGAATTAACTTTTTTTAATAGTTCAAAGTTAGTAATTTTTACAATGTGCCAAGTCACTGAAGTTTCCTGTATAAGTGTGTTAAACTACATTTCATCATAAGTGTTTTTAAAAAACACTTTTTTAAAGAAGTGTTTTAAAAAAAGTGTATGTATTAGTGTTCTGCCTGTTGTTGGGTCATCTGGGTACAAACACCAGAATTGCAATTTCGAGACTGTGATTAAAAATTACTTTATGGAGATAAAACAGGGTCGATAAATGCATGAAGAAACACTTTGTTCAAATTAAGCAGATGCTAGCAAGGGCTACAGTACATAGAAACAGCACTTCAACTTCAAACAATGGGACCTAGCAATAATATTTCTAAGTAGTTTTTATAAGCAAGAGTATTGTTCCTTACAGAACTTGTTATAGAGGGCTCCAAAGCCTGTTGATCTACTTCTTTCTGCAAAGTTGTGTCCAAAATAAGATTGTTTCCCTTTAGGGTTCTGCATATCTTTTTCCACATGATGCTTTCTATTCTAAACTGCCTGGAATTAGAAAGCTTATTTCTGTGATCAAGATAGAGTCTAGGAAAAATTAATTCTTCCTGCTAGAGTGGCAAATAATATTCTTCTGCCATTTCCCTGTACATCTCCCAGTACCAATATACCACATATCTACATCAGGGCATAAGCCAAAGCTCACTGGACTCAACTTCCAAGGTTTTAATCAGGTCCCTTCAGGACAGGCAAATAAGATTCTTAGGGCTCTGCCCCTTTTGCTAGGAGATCTGTCTTTGCTTGCATCACCATGAGTGTGATGCTACAAACCATCTGCAAAATGCTGAACCAGCTCTGTGAAGCTGTGACTAAGACATCTACCTCTGATATATCAAAGCTACTAGATTCTAGATTTCAGCTTAGACCTCCAACAGATGAGCTCTGCCAAGTCTTCCAAGGGCACCTCAAGGGATTAGGTTCCCCAGCTGCTCTGCTGTGCCTCTCTGACAGTGGTTATACATCCAGTAGCGAAACAGATCTGATCAAAGACACAAGACTGAACTGCAACAGTTTCTCCAATTATAAGTAGCAGTCTCTGGTAGAAGGAAAATAATGCAACGATTGTCAGAGTTCATCTGGAAGAAATTACTAGTTTGCAACTAAGAGCTCTGACTGTATTTTCTCCCCATTCAAGAAAATTATAGAAACAAAACAGGGAATAACTATAAAGGTAACTGCTTTGCCTTTGGCAGCTGGAATATGTTTATCATAGGTGAAGGATTTGGCATTTAAACTTGCACCTAAATAAAATTTCATTTGGATTTTGAAGAGTAGATTGCTTTTGATTATATAAAATTTACAAAGGAGAATAAATCAGTTTTTTTCTTAATGGACTTTTTATTCAGAATTAAATGTTTTAAGACTTGCAGATGTTGAATAAAATTATGCAAAACTCAGATTTTCAATAAATGAAGTTTAAACCTGTGTTTGTGTTCTTCATTTTATAATGAAGGAAGAATGCTTTACCTATGAACACGGCAAAAGATCAAGGATGCTAAGCTAACAAGAACTTTGTTTTTAGTAATGCAGCTTTTTCATTTCTTCTTCATGCAGTGTTCAAATTCTGTTCTTACTATAAACCAAAATCAACTTTATCAATGCAAATAGCTTAACATTTCCATAGGTGTCAGATCAGAATGACACCAACCTCTCATCTTTGTAACTTCAAAATTACACGTATTTTCTGTTATCAGATGCATGTGAATGACATCAACCTCTCATCTTTGTAACTTCAAAACTACACGTATTTTCTGTTATCAGATGCATGTCATCTGATATGAGGCTCATGTATGAGCCTTTTCCCCCCCCCCCAATATTTGCACCTTAATACTTTCATTCCATATTACACCTGCAGTTTATTACATACAGAGAGAACAGCATAGCTTACAGTTATGCAAGCAATAAGGTTAGGAGCAATTATGGGAAGACTAGTAGGTACTGTCTTGTGCAAAATTACAGTAGAGGTCAAAAATACGACTGAGACTAGTAAAGTTTGTGCTCAAAGCAAGAGACAGTAAGACCCTCAGGCCAGCCTAAGTCAAGATAGCTTGGTGTTAAATCAGCACCTGTGACTTTAGGAAAGTGTTTGTCTAGTTGAGTATTACTTGTTTGTTAGTAACTAAACGAAGTCCCAAGTTTCTCACCTCAAAAAAAAAAAAGTGAGAGGAAATATCCCAAGGAACAGATTATGGGAATCTGTAAGCTTGTGATACCACAGAAAGGCAGCAGCAAACTGACACTTGAACTCAAAAAACACTTTACTGCTCTAAGCCAATGGCCATCTGTCCTCACAAACCCTTTTTAGTAAGGATTTTACAGAAGGTACTTTGTCTTGATACATTGTTCTAACTTGTGTGCATGTTTGTGCATTTCCAATTAACAGCAGTACATAAGTCACATGAAACTATGAGAAGAATTAAAAAGAAACCCGTATTTTTCAGCAGCAAACATCAACTGACATCATTTGATGACCTGTTGAGTGCTTCCATTAATTCTTATATTTTCCTCCTCTGAAGAAACAATTTATTTCACAATGTAGGCATTTTAATTTCTGATTAGGTATAGTCAACATATTAAAAATAAACACCTAGGGAAAAATAGAAGGAAAACAGGAAAGTAGTATCACAGAATATCAAACTGTAGCAATTAAGAATCCCATAATATAAATTACTACTAGTTATATTATTACGTACTGATTTCACATGATTTGTAAGAGAATACACAAGATCCTGAGACTAAAGGCTCAAAATTTTGGAGCCGTTTTTTCAGCTTAATCAAGTAATACACATGACAAATGCGACCTTGTTTACCATTTCATAAGACTCCTGAGAAACCTGGGCCTGTCCGGAAGCCTGCTAACCACATTGTTCAAATAATGAAACAGGAACTTCCTTTTTGTACTGTGTTTTGAATCGATGAAGTAGATACCATAAAATACAAAGGTACAACATTATGTTGCCAGATTGGGCAATTAATGGTAGAAGGAACAGCGCGTTTGACTTGAAAAGGTACATGCGCAGTGAAAACTATCAAAAGCCATTTTGGACAAAGACATCAGAAACGCATGCAAAAATTCCCTTTCCTGGTCTCTTGAAGCGTGCACAGTAAGAAATGACACCTTCTGCCTTAACTTCTTCCTACGTACCACACAAAACTGTACCTCAGACCGGCACAAGTCCATTGCAGCTCGCATACTCGGCAGCGCAGCACTTCCTTGTTTAACTCGGCTCATTTGTCAGGTTGCAGCACTATCTTCAGCGTCCCTGACCATGTGGTACGGTGGTGAGACTACTTTGCTAAAAATTTTATTCAACCAGCCACAGCAATTACTTTTATTTTTCCTTTCCTGAGTATTTTTAAAATATTTACATGGCAATCTGTCCTAAAGACTCATTATCCCCAAGTTAATTAAGACAGCCTGGAACTAAGCAGATTGAGCTATATCTGATGTCTTTAAAAACTAACAGTTCCTGAGCCTTCCCTAGTTTCAAAGAACAATTCTCTTCGAGACCATTTCATTTTAAAACTTACCAACTTTTGGCGCAGACAGGAGACACACAACTCCTAGTTATTGCTGAGAAATGGCTTATGTCAAGCCAGTCCTTCCTTTTTCACGCTTTCCCCCTGCTCCCGTAGTACCCTATCACAGAAACTCACTATTCATACAGGAGGAATGCTAGTAGAGAGGTGAGTAAGCGCCATATTTATAAGTTATTGCAGAGCAGATGTCTGCTAATAAGCTATATGCCTTATTGTATGATTTTGTTTTCAAAACCAACAATTCACTTAAAGTAACTGTTTTTATCACAAATAAAGATAGTAAGAGTAATAAAATAATAATTTTAAAAAATTTAATAGCAAACACACCTACACTGCTGAAGTTTCACCAAAGCATCTGAATTGCATCATCTTCTCTCGTGCTATCAATTGCTATAGCTGAGGACAGTTACTGAGACTTGGAGCCCATACAGCTCACACAGCTCACAAGTCCCTTTCTTCCCTTAGTGTGTACCAAGTTTCTGGAAACAAGATATCCTTCTTCACTCTCCATGTGCTACCTGCCAAATTGGAATACAGGTGTGTAAGGAAGGTATAGAGTTGCCAAGAGACAAGTTCTAAAAGCATGTATCTATAGTCTGTATCTTTATTTCAACATTATGTTAAAGGACCTGACATTAACCATCTAATTAAGGTCATTTTTCTATTATGCTGCAGGATTTCAGGGAGTGGTGAAAATCAAAAGCCAGGTCAAAAGATACCCACGACTGTCCAGACAAAAAGCTTCTGACAGTTCAATCAATCCCGGTTCCAAACAGTTAATGAGAAGACTCTTGATCACATTCTCTGGACAGGAAAAGGGCAGAACCAGACACCCCCCCCCCCCCCCCAAACCCCTTCCCCGCCGCTCCCAGGGCTCTGTAGTCCTTCTTGATAGTCCTCAGACTGCTCCTGGCTGTGTCA